ACCTGGTCCACCACGTAGTCCCAGCCCTTGAGGCCCAAAGCTTCCCGCAGGGCGTCCTCGGCGGTGCCCCAGATGTCGTCGTCGCCGACGCTCTTCTCCGGCCGCGTGCTGAGGTTGATCTCGTACTTGGTGAACCCAAAGGTGGACAGGATATCCTCCGTCAGGTCCAGGACGCCCTTGATCTCGGCGGCGATCTGGTGGGGCAGGCAGAAGATGTGGGCGTCATCCTGGGTGAAGCCGCGCACACGGAACAGGCCGTGCATCGTGCCACTGCGTTCGTATCTGTTTGGAGGGTAGGTTGGGGGGGAGGGGAGGGGACGGAGGTGAAGCGAGGGCGGCAGCGAATGCGAAGTGAGAAAAAGTCACCGGGGGTGGGCACCACCAAGCCCCCAGCCCAGCAAGCACCCGCCAATCGTTTCCGCTGCCGCACCCTTCAGCGCTGCCTCCTCTCAACAACCACTGCAACCTGGCACTGCCATTGATACCTGCTGCCCAAGACCTGTCCCCCCCGGCTCCACAGGATGAGCTGTTTTGTATCAACATGACCAGCCCCGCACTCGCCCTTGCCTCATGCATCCCACCTGTAGACAGTGCCGAGCTCAGCCCAGCGCAGGGGCAGGTCGCGGTAGGAGTAGTAGCCGGCCTTGTAGACAGCGATGTGGAAGGGGCAGTTCATGGGCTTGAGCTGGTACTCCTCCTCCTCCACCTGCATCTGGTCATACATGTTCTCGCGGTAGAAGTCAAAGTGGCCGCTAGTCTTCCACAGGTCCACCTTGGCGATGTGGGGCGAGTAGACCAGCTCGTAGCCGCGCGCCAGGTGAAGGTCCTTCCAGAATGTCTCGATGGTGTGCCGCACGATCGCACCCGGCGGGTGCCAGAACACGAGGCCGCCGCCCGCGCTCTCCTGGATGCTGAACAGGTTGAGCTCTTGCCCCAGCTTGCGGTGGTCGCGGCGCGCAGCCTCCGCCTTCAAGTGCTGGTACGCCGCGAGCTGCCGTGGCTCCTGCCACGCCGTGCCGTACACGCGCTGCAGCATCTGGCGAGACTCATCGCCGCGCCAGTACGCGCCCGCCACGCTCTCCAGCTCCACCGCATCCGGGTTGATGGCCCCGGTGGAGGGCACGTGGGGGCCAGCGCACAGGTCCCACCAGTGGGACGGGTGGTCCTGCTCCCCAATGTGGTAGATTGTGATGGCTGCCGAGGGGTCGCGCTCGCGGATGCTCTGCAGGATCTCCAGCTTGTAGGGCTCCCCCGCGGCGTTGATGCGCGCCTCGGCCTCGTCAGCGCTCACCTTTGGGGCAATTGATAAGTGGTGGGCGAGAGAGAAAGAGTGATATCGGGCGTCTATATGTGGTGTGTGTGTGTAAGTGTGTGTGATAGAGAGAGAGGGGAGAGCGAGAGACAGAGACAGAGGAAAAGAGAGGAGAGTGCGTGTGTGCGCAGACGCGTGCGCATACACAAACGCATCACGCCGCTGCGCTCGGGGATGAGATAGGGGATACACGCGCTGTGCTGCTCTTTCTGCGCCGCTGCGTGCAGCTTTGAACGCCCTGAGGATCCTCCGCTACCCGGTTGCTGACCTCCTCCAAACAATGCCCGTTCCAAGAGAGTCCACTCCCCACTCCCTCAAGCTAGCCCCCCTCCCACACCCGTGCGCGCACCTCCTCGCGTATGAAGGGCAGGTCCATCCTCATGATCTTGGCCATCTCCTTCTTGATGCGTTTGAGGTCCTTGTCACTCAGGGGCTCCTTGATGTCAAAGTCGTAGTAGAAGCCACGGTCGATCCAGGGACCTATCGTCACCTGAGCGCCCTTGAACAGCCGCTGCACCGCCATCGCCATGATGTGCGCACACTGAGGGAGCAGAGGAGAGGGGCCGGGCAACATCAGGGGGACATAAGAAAAAGGACATTGGCGAGCGAATGACGTCAGCGAACCTGATGCATCTCTTGCGTGATTGCTGCCAATTCTGCCAGTGCCTGCAGCCAACAATTTGCCCTGTCCAGAGCAACCCCCCCCCTAGCCCTAATCTGGGCCTCGCTGCACAAACATCATGCATGGCACAAATTGCTCGGGTTTGCTCACGCTGTGCCTGATGCGCAGCAGTTCCTCCGACTCATCGCTCGTCGGAAGCACGACGCCCGCATACGGATTAGCGTTTGGGTCCTGCTGCTGCTGCTGTTGCTGCTGCTGCTGGCCACTCCTGCTGGAGCTCTCTCCCTGCGCCGTCTCCGCCACCTCGGCCGCCGCGCGCAGCTGGAAAATGTTCTTGCCGCCGAGCGGCATGTGCGCCATCGAACGGCGTGGCGCCAGGTGCGGGCCCTGCTGCATTTGTACCGAGCCCATGGCCACTGCCTGAAGCATCTGCAACGCCCTTGGTCGCAGCAGAGCCCTCTGCAAGAGCCTAGACGCCATTCTGCTTCCTGCCTGTGTGGTGGGGACGCACTGTTGCATCATGGCGTCCCCAAGGCACCCAATTGAAGTTAAACTTATGATATGAGGCTATCGTATCCGTGCAAGCGCGAAAACTCGAGCTCGGGAGATCGTCTGGTGCCTCTGCAGTGTGCACGAGACAAATGGCTGCTGCGCAATGGACGTGCGCGGCGCTAATAAATACTTGTGTGTTGACTGAGAAACACGCGCGATTGGTGCAAAGCAAGCTCAGCCAGTGGAGGCCGTTCCGCTCAATGGTGCAGGCTGTGCTCACCAATGCTGTGCCTGCTGCCTGCCTGTGCTGCTGCTGCTGCTCACAGAGCCCCTGGGAACCGCAGTGGGTCCTGTGCGCAAGCCTAGCACCGATACCTGCGCAAATTGCGTGCATCAGCAACGTTCTTCAGTTAGCACTTCAATCACGAGCTCTCAGGCGAGCATGGTCCAACTGCACATTCAGGGCCGTCAGGCGAATGCTCAATGTGCAATACCAACCCCGCGTGCTTTTCAGGCAAGGAAACACTATAGCCTGCATCGCACACGGCCAAGACGTATCAAAGCACAGCAGCTGCATGCAAGCGCACGTTTAACCGCCCGCAGCAATACCAGCGTTGTCGCTTCACACGAGGTGCTCACGACGCCTCGCTTATTCCTTTTCCCCAACCTCCTACACCCTTCCTCGCATTCATGTAGGTCAATATGCTTCCTTGATTTGTGTCATGTTCCCGCAACGTCGTGCTGCTGCTCTCCAACATGTGCCGGACGCTTTGGGGCCCCGCGCACAATCAGGCCGCCGCACGAGCGCAGACGCCGACGGCTTACCCCAAACGTCACCAGACTCGCAAAAGTCATGTGGTGCAGCGGAGCCCCCCGGGACGAGGCCGGGTGGCTGGCGCAGTTGGTATACAGAATCAGCGTGGAGGACTGCAACCCGAAGGGAATCGCACGGCCATGCGGGAGAAAACACTGCTGAGCAAATGGCGGCCACCACTCACTTACACAAGCCCAATTCTGCAAGGACGGCATGGTTGTTGAAGGGCAGCACTGTCGAACCTGGTGTTGTGCCGCGCCCCCTGGGATATTTTGAAGTCAATGACACAAGCAAGCAAGAATTGCAGCGTATGCCCAGACCGGGCTCTGTGAATGCACGCATGATGCTCAGAGAACTAGTTTTGATCTGCCGGCAGGGGTACCCCTTGAGCCCTTGAGGTCCTGGGCCAGGCGCTTCCATGCAGCGCACAAGCCCTCAGTGCGGTCGACGGCTGACCCAGGTTCTAGTAGCGGTGTCAAGGGCAGCGCCTTTTGCTCCGTTTGCGTGGCAGCAATCGGCTCGATAATGCGAATGTGATTCGCGTAGGCCAGGGCAGGGCCTGGTGCACCTGGGAATCGCTGGGGGCACTCCCGGCACCCAATAACAGGCTGCTCCGCCATTCGATCACCACTTTTGTTCGTGCAGTCGCCACGCGCATCCTCCATCCTTCATCATGGCTCTCTCGATGAAGCAGACCCTGGCCTGCAAGGCCGCTGGCCGGTCTCGCACCGTGTCTGTGAAGGCCCTGAAGTACGCCGATGAGCTGGTTCAGACCGCCGTGAGTCTTCACAGCTTTATTACGTGCAGTGCTGCATCCTGGCCGCGAGCGAGGAGGGGCAGGATTCCTTGGCAACCCGGAAGCGCCTTGCCTCCAGATCGATCGCAAGGGGCTCCCGTTCTGCCAGGCGCTGCATTGGCCTGCCGGCAAGGAGGATTGCAGCAGCATGTCTAGCCCTCATTCATGGCGTCCCCAAGAGCCCTTGTGCGGCCGTCCGTGAGCCCTGGATGCCATCCGCTCCCCTGCCTCGACCCCACAGGGCAAGGTCGCGTCCAAGGGCCGCGGTATCCTGGCTATGGATGAGTCCAACGCCACGTGCGGCAAGCGCCTGCAGTCGATCGGCCTCGAGAACACCGAGGACTCTCGCCGCGCGTACCGTGAGCTCCTGGTCACCACCCCCGGCCTCGGCAAGTACATCTCCGGCGCTATCCTGTTCGAGGAGACTCTGTTCCAGAAGGTGGGCCGCACCAGCACACACATGGCCGCAACCCGAAGGTTGCAACTGACACTGCGCCTGGGGCAATGCATGCACATGTTGTGGAGAGCTGCTGACTATCAATGGCGCACATGTTGCTGAAGCACACAGCATGATGATGCGGTACGTCAGCTTCTGGAGGGGCTACCTGCATCCAATCACACCCACCCTTCACTCACACCCCCCCCCCCCTCCCTGTCCTGGCCCTTGGTCACCCTCTAGACCAGCACCGGCAAGCTGATGA